TTGGATAATTTGTTTCATAATTTTTAGGGTATTTTAATTTTTCGTCGAAAGCCTCCCTGTAGGGGTACAGGCCCGACTTAGGAACAGGGGTGCCTCCGACGGCGGTGCCCCGCGGGCGAGCGCCTCCGGCGGCGGGCGCCCCTCTGGCGGGGGCGCGGCGGGAAGTCGGCGCGGGCGGGCGCGGCCCAGGAGGAGAAGGGGGGGGGCAACGATAGGGCAGCGATAGGGGGGGAGGGGAGGGGGGGGGCAGGGAGGAGGGGGGGGGGGGGGGGGGAGGGGGAGGAGGGGAGGGCAGGGGAGTAGAGGGGGGCCAACTAGTGCGCCGCGTCATATCTGACATCCGACCCCTCCCTCCCATCCCTTACCATGGCGCAGATCCCCTCTCTACTCGCACAGTCGGATGTCGAGCAGGGCAATGATCCCGAAAGGGTACGTGATGCATTGTAGAGCACGGCGTGGCATGGCGTAGAAGAGCACCGCAAAGCGTAGTATCAACCTAGCATTGCATTGCATGCCGTGGCATGGCGCGGGAAATGGCGCCAGCGCTGCAGCAGGAGCACGTGTCGAAACGAGCGGAAGCGCGGAAATGAGGCCAGCGCTGCAGCGGGAGCACGATTCGGAACAAGCGGAAGCACGCCGCAATCGGCCCGGGAGGCTTCTTCCCGGGCGCCAGAAGCAGGAATTCAGCATTTTCAAAAGAAAAATATGTATTGGAATGGCGTTTTTTCGGCGCCGCCTCGGAACTCGATTTTCTGGCGCCAGCCGGAACCGGACCCAGCCCGGGCGCTGGCCCGGGCGCGGGCTGGGGCGTCCGGCCCGGGCGCCGGCTCGAGCGCCGGCCCGGGCGTCGGAATCGGCCCAGGAGGCCTCCCGGGCGCCGGAAGCAGAAATTCAGCATTTTCAAGAAAAATGTGTATTGGAATGGTTTTTTTCCGGCGCCGCCTCGGAATTAAATTTTCCGGCGCCGGCCGAAACTGGCTCCGGACCCGGCCCGGGCGCCGGCCTGGGCGCCGGCTCGGGCGTCCGGCCCAGGCGCCGCCGGGTCGGGCGCCGGCCTGGGCGTCGGAATCGGCCCGGGAGGCCTCCTGGGCGCCAGAAGCAGAAATTCAGCATTTTCAAAAGAAAAATGTGTGTTAGAATGGTCTTTTTTCGGCGCCGCCTCGGAATTGTTGACGCTTCGCGTATCCCCACCAGCCCATCCAGAAACGATGCTCAGGGGAGTTGAGGTGATCAGGGAAGTCGGGGAGCATGCAGAATAACAAAGGGCGGGGGAAGCTGTCACAGACCCCGAGAGGGGGAGGAGGGAAGAGGAGTCGTCGTCGTCGTCGTCGTCGTCGGAGGAGGAGGAGGAGGAGGAGGGGGAAGAGGAGGAGGAGGAGGAGGAGGAGGAGGACGGAGAAGGAGGAAGAATCGGAGGAGGAGGAGGAGGGGAAGGAGCCTCTTGGGGGTCTTTTGAGGGCCTCTTGGAGGGCTTTTTGGGCGCCTTGGGGCATCTTGGGCGCCTCTTGGGACCCTCTTGAGGCGCTCTGGGGAGCCTTCGGGGCGCTTTTGGGGCCATCTTGGAGGGAGTCGATCAAACAAGAGGGGGGGTTTAATTAGCGCCCCCCCTCGGAAGCCCCTAAAAACGCCTCTTGGACCCCTCTTGGAACGCTCTTGGAGTGCTCTTGGGCGCTCTTGGGGCCGTCTTGGGGCTCTTTTGGGGCTCTCTTGGGGCCCTCTTGGGCCAGCTTGGAGCCATCTCCAGGCCTCGGATGGCCATCGGAAGCGAAAAGGCGAGAAAGCAAAAATCATTGATTTTCCTGAGGTTTTGGGACGATTTTGGCCTCTTCGGGGCCTCCTTGGGGAGCTGTTTGGCCACTTGGAGTTATCTTGGGGCCGTCTTTGGGCTTCTTGGAACCATCTTAGGAGCCATCTCGAGCGATCTTGCGCTATCTTGAGCCATCTTGGAGCTCATCTTGGGTTCTCTGAGGCGCTCTTGGAGCCGTCTTGGGCCATCTGGACGCTCTAACTACCCGCGGCCCCCCCCGTCCAGGTCCAGGGGAGGGGGTAGGGGGAGGGGTAAACCCCTCCCCAAGGGGGAAGAGGGAGGGGTGGAAGAGGATCTGCTCTAGACCACCTACGCCCAGAGGGCTGGTGGGATTCGATTTTCCGGCGGCGGCCGGAACCGGTTCCGGACCCGGCCCGAGCGCCGGCCTGGGCGCCGGCTCGGGCGTGCAGCCCGGGCGCCAGCGGAAATGATGCCAGCGCTGCAGCGGGAGCACTATTCGGAACGAGTGGGGCCCGAAAATGAGGCCAGCGCCCCAGCGAGAGCAGCATTTCGGGACAAAATGCAGGCGAAAACCCAACTTCAGGGAAACTTGTGTAAACAAAATACGCGGGGAGGGGGTCGGCTACTCCCAAGACGTCATCAGGGGAAGAGGGAAAGTAGTATTCATATTGGGTAATCCCACCAGCCCTCTGGGCGTAGGTGGTCTAGAGCAGATCCTCTTCCACCCCTCCCTCTTCCCCCTTGGGGAGGGGTTTACCCCTCCCCCTACCCCCTCCCCTGGACCTGGACGGGGGGGCCGCGGGTAGTTAGAGCGTCCAAGATGGCCCAAGACGGCTCCAAGAGCGCCTCAGAGAACCCAAGATGAGCTCCAAGATGGCTCAAGATAGCGCAAGATCGCTCACGATGGCTCCTAAGATGGTTCCAAGAAGCCCAAAGACGGCCCCAAGATAACGCCAAGTGGCCAAACAGCTCCCCAAGGAGGCCCCGAAGAGGCCAAAATCGTCCCAAAACCTAAGGAAAATCAATGATTTTTGCTTTCTCGCCTTTTCGCTTCCGATGGCCATCCGAGGCCTGGAGATGGCTCAAAGATGGCCCAAGAGGGCCCCAAGAGAGCCCCAAAAGAGCCCCAAGACGGCCCCAAGAGCGCCCAAGAGCACGCCAAGAGCGTTCCAAGAGGGGTCCAAGAGGCGATTTTAGGGGCTTCCGAGGGGGGACGCTAATTAAACCCCCCCTCTTGTTTGATCGA